CCCGCCCTCACCCCTCCCCCACCCCATTCCCAGCCCTCTCAGGAACACGCCTGCTGCAGCTGCTGTGAAGGAGGCACAAGAGGCTCCTGTACTGGAGGGATCCCTCACCGTGGGATAGGGGCTTTCTCCTTCCCCGCAGCCCATTTGGCTCAGACTAGCTGCCCTACGGGACCAGAGCCCAGTGATGGGCTGGGTCCAGCTCTAACAAATGGCCTTTAATTTATAGTCCTGACCTTTAGGCACCTGGGGCCTGGTGCTCAGTGGGTTTGGGCACCTGCAGCTCCCACTGACTCCACCTGCAGATGTGGAGGCTGCACAGCTCTGAAGCACCTGCCCTGCAGCTCTCTCGTTGGGAGAGAGAAACTCAGGTGCCCCAAATTGGGCCATTTTGGGGAATTTGGGACTGAACGTTGTGACCTTTGGTAAATCATGAATTCATGTGAGACGTCCTGATGCCTGGGCTCCTATTCCATCTGCTCCATTTGTCCCCTTTTCACTAGTTATTAAATTAAGTATTGAGAATTGGTACAAGGGTCATTTCTTATACTTAAGTTTGGACAGACCAAATCTGTGTGTTTGTACTGAGTGATTTGGCCTTGGCCTGGTGAGTAGTTTGCTTGACATAAGGGAAATTTTGCCTTAAGTGACCTTGATATTAAGTGATGTGTTCATAAGTTGCTATGTGGGACAAAGATGATTTGCCCACACAATATGCTTAAAGACATCAGACACCCAAAATGTACCGCCAAGGACCAGTTAGCAAAGTCCATGCAGAGAACAGGGTCAAAGTAACCTATACGTAATCAGGGGCAATAAACCAATCAGAAAAGAGAACAGTAACATGAAAATAGAATCATAGAATCATAGACTTTAAGGTCAGAAGGGACCATTATGATTGACCTCCTGCACAACGCAGGCCACAGAATCTCACCACCCACTCCTGTATCCAACCTATGTTTGAGCCATTGAAGTCCTCAAATCATGGTTTAAAGACTTCCAGGTGCAGAGAATCTTCCAGCAAGAGATACATGCTCCACACCGGCGATGATGGC